CTCCCAGGATTCGTCGCCGACCCGTTACCATCGAAATAAGAGAATATATGCGGAAGCCAAACGAACACTCCATTCAATAAACATTCAAACGGGATAACAGAGAGAAACAATTTAAACAAACCAACAAACTATTTTATAAACTTAACGTCGATTACAACACATATATTTGCAAGCCTTCTACGAGGCCACTATCTACGAACCACGCACAACAACAAGGATTGGGTGGTTGGTAAGCTTAACTCCTCTACAAAAAGGTGCACTCAAAAGACGGGGTAACTCGACCTATCCTCAATCCCCGTAGTATCCTGGCAGCGTCTCCGGATCAATCTTGGTCGCGGGTCTGAAATGGTTTAGTTAAACAACCATGAGAACACTTCTCAATAAGCAACTACCTAAGCCTCGCTTAGGGCAATACGTACCTCCGGCACCCTAATCATGCAATTCTAACCAATAGGGTAAGTTCCTATCAAACGAACAATGGTACCACATACTATGCAAAGTCTCAAATTGCATCACAACCATGGCATACTATCAATATGCATAACAGCAATAATAATAATCCAGACATACTCAATCATTCACACGAGTCTCGATTATAAGATGAAATCACTTCGGCCCGTCCCATACCGTGCCTCATGATTTTATCCCATAATCAAGCGCAAAGCATTCTATATGCACAAAATACTCGAAGTTGTCCAGATTATTAACGACCCACCATAGGTCACACCGAACTCCCGCCGGTCTTCCGGCATAGCCAGGCATCACCCCACTACTTTGGGCATGGCAACATCCGGGATCGAACCCCCCCGACAAGTCGGGTACCGGACGGCATTCCATTTAGGAGCATCGAACCCCCCCGATAAGTCGAGTACCAGACAACATCCGAACTTCCGCCGGGTATCGTCTAGAACTCATCTTAGACGGATCTCATCATGGCCACACACGTAAACAACCACGTATTGCCAATTTTAATCTTCCTTAATTAGCCAATGCAAGTGTTTATGACGTGCAATTTACTACGAATAAATATGCCATAAATCACACTTGTTTTCGTATCAAACATCAATATATGATCACGATATGCCATGCCAAGCCAACAATAGCCATTATTAACCACATGATCCTCTTTTAAAATCCTACGATTATTCAACAAGTACGAGATCAACCATGAAACATCAATTTCAACCATACAATCTTCGTTCTAGGCCACGAAATCATCATTCCGACCATACGATCGAGTCACAGTCAATTATTCAGCCATGATTAAATAAATTAACCATACGATTAAATCATTTAACCATGCGATCGGCATTAAACAACTAATCCACCACACGATCATCATTAAACCTTTAATCGGCACATAATCGACTAATTAGCCATGCGATTGTCAATCAAAGCCACATGATCAACTTCAAATCTCTAATAAGCCATATGATTTCATTTTATCACATCCTAATTTAATCTAAACTGTAGGATCAAAATGAGCACATAATCATGATAATTAAGCCCTAAAATTAACCTTAACCAATCTAGAATCAATGGGGGCCATATGATCAATGTCCAAATCATCTAATTCAGCCTCTACCACATGATTATTGCAGCCACAAGACTAACCCACGAATTTAATTAAAACAACCACTAAACAATCATAATTAGCCAAATTAAGCACAATTAACAACATTAAACATATGCTCAAGCTCAAGTCACTTAATCTACCTATCTTAACATTCAAATCAGCCACATAATCATCAAATCCAGCCAACAACAAATCCTCAATTCAGCATCTACCATAACCCCTAAATTACCCTAACAACCCCGAAACACTATCCATTGGTAACCTACTAACCTAATCAAGGTTTAGGGAGTTACTTACCACTAATTTAAGCTAAGAACCAAGCCCAAACAGCAGCAGCAAGCCACGGCCAGATCTGGAATTTCCAGCGAACGGCGGTGGCCAAACGGCGATCCGGCGAACGGCGGCTGATCCAGGCGTGAACGGCGGCTTGGGGCTGGCTCACGGTGGTCCACGGTGACCAAGGGACGTGGGCTGAGGTGCTGGTGGGTGGTGGTGAGGCTCACGGCCAAGAGGGGGAGAGAATGAGAGAGAAAAATGAAGAGAGAGAGAGAACAAGAGAGAAAGTGAGGAGAGAGAGAAAGAGGGCTGAAACTTCAATCAATATCAAGGGTTGAGATGTGTTCTTGATGCCCAAGCAAAAATCTAAAGGCTAGGATCAAGCCTTGCTCTCCAAGTTCCATCCAAAGGCCAAGATTAAATCTTGCAAAAAGGTTTCTAGAAGGGCATTTTTGTAATTAACCAAAAAGGGCAAGGGCAAAGTTGTCCAAGAGAATTTTCAGCCACTAGGGTAGGAATACCATTACGTCCTTCCACTCAACAAATATACTCTAGAACACACATGGGCAAAATCGTCTTTTCCAATTTCCGAGCCAAATTTCCCTTTTTCGCGAATTTCTGAGCAAACCGATAATAAAGCGAGCTTAATGCGGCGTCATCCAATATAATAATTTTGACATCCTTGAAAGTTCGATACCTAAGTTCGGATTCCAATTCGTGACCAAAATCGATCAAACGCGACTTTTGTGTATCTCAAACTAACGGGCGGCTTTTAGGGTTTACGTGTGTCGACCCGTGGTTGATTTGATATCAATCCATGTTTAAGTTTACTCAAGCCATGGTGACTTCGGTTGTCATGTAATTACGAGGGTCAATCATTAGTTCCGAATGACACGATCGTTAGAAATTGATTTTGGAACGTTCGGAATGCATACAACGATTAAACGGAATCACCCGTGACTCAATTGTATAACATTGGCAAAAGGACACTATTGGTGTCATAACTTGTGTACGGAGATCACTTTGGTGCCATAACTTTTTTTCGGATCACTTTGGTGCCAAAATCGGAGAAAAAAGATCACTTTAGTGACTCCGGCCAAAATTCCGGCAAAAAAAAGAGCCACGTCAGATTTCCGGCGAGCCATGTCAGATTTCCGGTGAGCCATGTCAGCATCGAAAATTAATAAAAAAAGAGCCACGTCAGATTTTCGGCGGCCATGTCAGCATTAGCACTAAAGTGATCGTTTTTCAAAAAAGTTGGCACCAAAGTGATCCGAAAAAAAGTTATGGCACCAAAGTGATCTCCGTACACAAGTTATGGCACCAATAATGTCCTTATGCCGTATAACATTTGTTAAATTGTTTCATAATCATTCTTGGATCGGCCTATAATGGCCCAAAATATCCCCTCGTCAATCCTTACGGTCGAAGTGTCGATCCAGGTTCGAGTTCTTGGGTCGTGCGTACCGAAATCCTAACTAGCCATTCCCTAACGGTTAGTATTCTCAAGAATGGTCAATTCCGAGTGAGATATAACAGAAAGTGCATTGATGATAATATCAGTTTATAGATCCCGAAAGTGGGTCGAAATTCAAAATGTCACAGTGTATGTATGTGTACTTGCCATCAATGTGACATTTTGATGGCCACTTCAAAATGAGAATTTTTTACATAGAAAAATTGAGGCAAAAGTACACCACAAGTGCCATAATTTGTGTACGGCGATCACTTTGGTGCCAAGTCGGAGGAAAAAAGATCACTTTAGTGCCAATTTGGCCGGAAATCCGACGTGGCATTTTTTATTAATTTTTGACGCCGACGTGGCTCGCCGGAGACTGAGTCAACGTATACAGTCAGCATTTTTTATTTTAAATATTTTTTTTCCTTTTTTTTTCTTATTTCCTTTTTCTTTTCTTTTCTTTTTTTTCTTTTCTCCCCTCGCCGGCCGGTTGCCGGTGGCCGGCTGGCCACCGGCGAAGCCCGGGAAGGGCTAGGAGAGGGCGGCCTTGCCCAATGCCGGAAAGGGGCGGCCGACCCTCGCCGACGATAGGAGAGGCCGGCCCTCGCCAGCCCAGGCGAGGGCTGCCTTCGCCCTCGCCTGGGCGGGCGAGGGTCGCCCGACGCCGGCGAGGGTCGCCCGACGCCGGCGAGGGTCGCCCTCGCCTGGGCCGGCGAGGGTCGCCCTCGCACTGGGCGGGCGGGTCGCCCTCGCTGAGTCGGGCGTGGGCGACCCTCGCCCGTGCCGGCGAGGAAGCCCTCGGCCCGGGCGGACGAGGGTCGCCCTCGCGATTCGGGCGTGGGCGACCCTCGCTCGGCGCCCGGCGGGTCGCCTCGCCCGGCGTCGGGCGAGGCGATCCTCGCACTGGGCCGGCGAGGGTGGCCTCGCTGGGCCGGCGGGCCGGCCTCGCCTGTCGCCGGCGAGGGTCGGCCGCCCCTCGCCGGCCATGGGCAAGGCCGCCCTCGCCCAGCCCTTCCCAGGCTTCGCCGGTGGCCGGCCGGCCACTGGCAACCGGCCGACGAGGGGAGAAAAGAAAAAAAAGAAAAGAAAAGAAAAAGGAAAGAGGAAATAAAAAAGGAAAAAAATATTTAAAATTAAAAATGCTGACTGTACAGGCTGAAAAAAATTATTTAAAATAAAAAATGCTGACTGTACACGCTAACTCAGCCTCCGGCGAGCCACATCGGCGTAAAAAATTAATAAAAAATGCCACGTCGGATTTCCGGCCAAATTGGCACTAAAGTGATCTCTTTTCCTCCGACTTGGCACCAAAGTGATCCGAAAAAAAGTTATGGCACCAAAGTGATCGCCGTACACAAGTTATGGCACTTGTGGTGTACTTTTGCCGAAAAATTGACCTGTTTTTTCTCTTTACGTTTTCATATATGGAAGGATAAGGATAAATTGTTGAAGTATATCTCCTTTCGATTACCAAATCTTGAACATTTCTTTTCATGTGCAAAAACCTAATCCATACTTGCCAAAAGAAGATTCATTTTCTTTCCCAGTGGAAATGGTAATGCACGGCAGGCTATTAATGATGATTACTAAGATTCAGGTTTCAGATCTGCCAAGGAGATATGATTTATGTGTATATAAGGAAGAACATTGTCTTGTCTCATTCTAAAAAATACTCTGGTTTGTTCTACAATGGCAATGGTAAGGCCACGAATGCATCTTTCCAAATGGTTGGTTTTGATGATAAGTATTATTAGTCTGATAAGCGATGGGGGTGCTCGAGCGAGGATCCTTGTATCAAACAAAGTTACATGGTTTGATAAGCCTAAAGGAGCGGTAAAAACTATCGAGGTCATTCCTAAACTCTGCCCGTTGCAATTTCAACTTTATTTTTCTCTCTTAAATATGTTCTCTTTGTAAGATAACGTATGAGAACCTACTGCAGAGTTATGAAACTGGTGAAGTGATCGATTGTGTTGACTTCTTCAAGCAACCCGCTTTTGATCATCCGCTTCTAAAGAATTATTCCATACAGGTTTTTGTCCTCTCATTTTTTGACCTATAACTTGCACTGTTATTCTATCCTGTGCCTACCATGCAAAATTTGCAATTAAAAGCAGAAATGAATGAGTGCAGTGATGATGGTACAAGTACCTTAATGATGAGGGCCATTATAGAGTAGTTCTAGGAGAAAGCTGTTTGAATATTATAGGATGTCCAAGAAATCTAGGTTGTTCTATGACGGAAGTATTGTTATGCGACCTTAGATATGTTTGCCCACCTTGTTTAACAATTGCTGAAGCTAACACGTTTATGAATAGATAAAGCCAAGCTCAAATCAGAAATTGAATGGAGCGCTCAATCAAGTTTGGTGGAAATATGGTAAATGCCCTGAAGGAACGATCCCCATCAAAAGACCACAAAATCATACCAATCATCATGTTAAACCGTTGACTCCACGCATGAAGCGGCTCAATTTGAGCAGGAATGACGTCAATGCAGATGATGGACATGAAGTATGTGCAAATACATCACGATATGACTTACTGTGGTGTTGATTTTGAGTTTAACTTTTGTTCATGCGTTGATCCTTAAGTTTCATTTCCTTATGTGTTTGTTCTATATTGGTCAGCATGCTATAGTATCTTTGACCGGTGGCAGCTATAACGGAGCTCGTGCAACTATTAATTTGTGGAATCCTAAAGTAGTGGGTTCAGAAGTTAGTTTCTCTCAAATTTGGCTCGCAGCAGGCCCCGAAGAGGATATTAATACTGTGGAGGCAGGATGGATGGTAAGAACTTGAATGATCGAATCTGAAGATTTAAGCATGATTGACATTCTAAATGTGTGTAGATTTAGAAGATAAGTGGTTGGTGTTTTTATTATAGGTTAATAGAGAATTGAGTGATAGCGGGCAGGCAGAGTTTTTCGTATACTGGACAGTGAGTTCTTAACTCTTGTGACCGCTTATTATTCACAAAACTAACACAAACATATCAAACATTGACATGTTTTTTTTGGGTGGACTTTAGAGTGATGGATATAAGGAAAGCGGCTGCTATAATCTCAGATGCAAAGGATTCGTACAAACAAATGAGCATATATCTCTAGGAACTCCGATTCAACCAGTTTCCACCTATGGTGGACAACAATATGACATACCTATAGAGATTACGAAGGTAATAGAACAATCTTTTGGGTAAATATACACGAAATATTTTCGAGCCTTCTGTCTTTTAATAAAAGTATTTCAGAATCAATTTGCTGGATGGTGGGAGCTGAGCATTGCAGACACAGAAGTAGGATTTTGGCTCCCGGAATACTTCACTTATTTGAGAGGCCCTGCTGATAAAATTGATTGGGGTGGAGAGATAGCAAATGATGTATCGGGTAGGCCTACGTCAACCGAAATGGGGAGCGGCCATTTCCCTTCTGAAGGCTATGGAAGGGCATCCTATTTCCGCACTCTTAAATTCATCGACGATGGATTTATTGAGAGAGACCCTGAAAATCTCGAGAAGATTGTCACAAAACCTGAATGCTATGACTTACTGTTGAACGTGGGCACACCCAATTTTGGAGTTCATTTCTATTATGGGGGCCCTGGAGTTTCAGCTCAGTGTGCAACTTAGTGAGCATATGATAACATGCTTTCTTTCTTTTTCATACCCTAATGAAAATGGCTTTGTCAAGTGTTTAGCAATGAGTACACCAATGCTTTTGAAGGAAGTACTGCTAGGTGGTTTGATGTACTTAATGTCGGCCATAATCACACTTTTTTATTACAGCTCCTTCTTTTTCCCTAAACATAAGTGTTCACTATGGACAAGGTGTAGTCTCTACTTAAATATTACATTTACTTCATATAATTAACTATTAGATGTAAAATTGATTACAAGACTAAAAAATCTGACAATATATGGCATACTTGTGTATGAAAGTTAACTTCATTTGTTGAAGGAAATCAAATCAAACCATTGATATCCGAAAGCCTTCTATGGGAATTGAGATCATAATAATTTCATATGCCAATCACGAGCATTGCTTGCATATGCAGAAAAGCATTAATGACTACTATCTCCAGTTCAATAGAAAATCATGCCCACACAAGAAACATTCTTCATTTTAACTAAAAATCTTACTTCATCTATTATAACTAATAGTGGTTAATGCAGGACAAACTTTTACGGATGATCAGTAGGATGATTTGCATTAAGGGATACAAATGTATATGGGGGGACTCCTCTATTTCTATTTTCCAAGAATTTGCGGTTGGATAATTTGATTATAATAACTATGAGCACTGGACTTCCTCTAGAATCCATGATTGCTCTACAGAAAGGAATGACATATGCGAGGAAAATTATGGGATACAAGGGTTGTCCTTGATTATTCCCTTGATTTTTTCTCAAGAATCCATTGTAATTTTCCTTTGAATTGTGAATAAGGTCTAGCCCATTAATAATTCTCTGCATTCCTTAATCTTCATCCTTGAATATTGTTTGATTATGAGGAAGCAATTCACGGGAATGATATGTTAATAAATTCCCAAATGTATAGACCGCATGAACATAAGACTTACTTTCCTTGTTCCATTGAAATGAATCTTAGAAGAAAGATTGACGATAGAAGGCCTCATTATGTCAATATAACATATCGGTTATAAGTTGATCTATTTCAATGAGAAAGATTTCGGATTAAGTATAGCAGGAGTGCCAGAACTTTCGTATCGTGTTCCCCTGAGTGCCTTAACTTTTATTTTCGCTCATTTAAATGCCACATTGGAGTAAAGTTGATCATTTGAGTGTCATTTCCGGCAAATCATCCTATTTACATTTTTTTATTAATTTCCCATTCCGACGTGGAACTTTTTATTTTTGATTTTTTTATTAATTGTTCACGTCAATGCTAGTGATGCCATGTAGGATGATTGGCGTCTACATTGGATTTTCTGACGAGGCAAATCGCCAATGGCACTTAAGTGATTGATTTTTCAAATTTGTGGCACTCAAGTGAGTGCCGTACGAAAATTATGACACTCTTAGTGTACTTATCACAAAAAAGCTTATACATGTGTTAGTTGAAGGAGTAATTATTTAAATATTTGGGAAAATTATCAATTTAGTTTTAAACCTATTGTTTCAGTTTTAACTTTCCAATTTTGTTAATATAGTCCTACACGTTTGCGCGATATTTAAATGTGATCTTTCCTGCCAATTGTTGTCGCAAATTATGACGTGGAAATCAACAAATTGTCCATGTCAGCATGCCACTTAGGATGACTGGCGATGATTAGATGCCACATTAGCGATTTTCGGTGTGACGGGAAAGATTACATTGAAATATTGCCCAAAAGTTTAGGACTGCATTGACAAAATTGAAAAATATGGCTGATTATGTGGAATAATTAGTTGTTGACAAGAAAATTATGACAATTGTAATTGTATTATAAGACAATCCAATCAAACCATTGGAAAATACATATTGTTTTGTCAATTCTAAATGCATTAGAATTTCCAAAGAAAGAGTAGAAAAAAAAGGTAAAAAATAATCTTAAATCGGGGACCTACGAGAGATATTATGGTCAATTTAACGTAATAGGAGGCATCAGAAGTCAAAAAATGAATGGAAAATGTGTGAGCCTTTATGCTTTTATCCTTTTCACATAATTGTTCATTTAAATTTTAAACCTATTCTACTTATTTATATTTGAGTTGATGCGAGTAAAATAAGGAAGGAGTATGAAAGGTTTCTAGAGTCAAGGCCCATACGGTGGTTAGGAAAAAGGAGAGGCGAAGGAGGTAATTTATTATGAATACCACTTATGTATTAGTACATAATAATTGCTTTGATGATTTTTAATTTCAACCTTTGTTGAAAATTGAATTTAAAATTATTTTGGATTTTATATACAATGGGCTTCATTCATGGGAAGTACCTAGTTTTTTATAGGGTTAATACCACGAAAAACTCTAAACTAATACACCTGTGACAATTTTTATCGAAAACTAATTTTCTGATCATCAAAAACTCCAAACTATACATGCGACAAATTTACCCTCAGTTTATTTCCGTTAAATTTTACTATCAAATTATTTTGTTAAATGACACACGGTAATTGACTGATATATATCAGTTTTATATTTTACCCTCTATTTGTCATAGGTGTATCGGTTTTTGATTTTTCGTGATATTAATCTAATTTAACGGAAACTAACGGAAAGTAAATTTGTTATAAATGTACCAGTTTGGGGTTTTTAGTAGTCAAAAAATTAGTTTGGGGTAAATTTGTCATAGGTGTACCAGTTTGAGGTTTTTCATGATCAAAAAATTAGTTTTGGGTAAAATTGTCACAGGTACCAGTTTAGGGTTTTTCGTAGTATTAACCCTTTTATATATATGGTACCCCCTTCTATTAATATATTTTATAAAGAATTAATTAATGCAAGACATTTGTCTACGTGGGACCTTTATGGTAAAGTTCAGAGGGATAGCTGCATTGATTGGCCCTCCCCAACCTTTTTACTTATAAATAAAAATGCTTGAGATAAGGACATCAAAAGTGCTATAACTTTCGTATGGCATTCACTTGAATGCTATAATTTTTTTCTCTTACTTGATTGCCACATCGAAGTCAAATCGATTATTTGAGTGACAATCTTGACAAATTGTCCTACGCGGATTTTTTTAATTAATTTTCCATTTCGATGTGGATTTTTTTTTTATTAATTGTCCACGTCAACGCAGGCGATGCCACGTAGGATGACCAACATCCACGTTGGATTTTCCAGTGAGACAAATCGCCGATGGCACTTAAGTGATCGATTTTTTAAATTTGTAATTGTCACGCCCCGAACCCCAACGGGCTCGCGACACCCCTTCCACGGTCGTATTGAACGCGACGTCCCAGGACGCGTCGCCGACCCAAACGAACTACGCAAGCGGAAGCGAAATAAAACAACCCAGACAGTAAAATATGACGAAGGGATAGCACAAAACAATAATTCCAAATACACAACATTAAAACGGAGTAGTGGTTGGATATCCTACTTCGCTATACAAAAGAGGGGCACACAAAAATATGAGGCAACTTGACCCGTCCTTGATCTCCGAGATACCCTTGCAGCGTCTCCAGTCACTCATGGTCGCGGATCTGAAATGGTTATATAATAACCGTGAGAACGAGTCTCAATAAGCAACCCCCTATACCCCACGTAGGCCAATGCGTACCCAGACAAGTCGTACATGCAATCTGCCCCATAACATATAAAATTCACATCATTGTACTTACCTCGCCATCAAACGCATGCTCTGCACGTTAGTTAAACGTGATAATGCAATATTAATAGTCTAATAACATATCACTATCACTCAAGCACTAACCACACTAGCACTCAATCAATCCAACCAATTCAATCACACATTCAATCAGCCAGTCCAATCAATTCAATCACACTCAACTCGCATACGTGGCCGAACAACTTTCCACGACCTCCCAGGTCCTTTCACACTGCCCGCGCCACTGCGCCTCAGGCCCAATCTCACAGCCCGCGCCACTGCGCCTCAGGCTCAGCCCTTAGATCAAGCCAGGCTCGGTCCCGCGTAACCACGCCTTAGGACATTTTTCCCCTTCCATTGACCCGCGTAACCTTTCTCGCCACACCCGCGTAACTACGCCTCAGGTTGGCAGCCCTCTGATCAATTCGGGCTTTTCTCATGCACATGCACCATAACACAATTCGCAATTTTCACAAGTCGTACCAATTAAATTCAAGGCATGCTCACCACAATATTCCACCAACCCGACCTTCAAGTCGGTCACATTCAGCTATCAATTCCACTCACAACCGCCACGATAAGCCAATCATTGACTCACCACAATAGCCACAAATATGCACCCACAATCATCCCAATTTCAAATCACAAGCTCACGATTCCGACATTCAAGTCAACA